AGCACCCCAGGGGGGAGGCCTGAGGGGGGCGGGAGGTGGAGACCACAGTGCTGTATTCAAAACATTTCATAACGAGAACCCAGCAACGGAAGGCTCGGAAACCATGGCCCTGACGATGTGCCCAACCCTTGCGCCACGTATGGCCAAAAAGTCTGGGTAGACTTTATACGGAATGGTAACGTGGCAAGGGAGTATATGATCTGCGAACGGTATTTGGGAAGCTCGCGAGGTGCGCGACTCGCAGGACACCGATCAATGGCCACGGGCTTGATGGATACGATTCGTGAGTTCCCTGGGTCGAAGAGGAAGAGGGGCAGGACTAAGAGGAGAAGGCGGACAGGGAGTTTACAACGTAAGCGGGGCAGCAGCAAGAGGACATGGCAGCAGCACGGGAGTGACGACAAAAAAAACGGCAAGAGGAAGGATAGAGATGATGTCTCGAGGTCTGCCAGCAATCAGCCCTCGAAAGTGGCGAAAGTTTTGCAATTCGCACCCACCCCCTGGGAATGGAGAGGTCGAATCTGAATCTGCGTAAGACCCTCACTACGCTGGGCCTCCCAGCAATCCTCGAAAGTGGTGACAGTTTCGCGGATCGCATCACTCCCAGGAGGGCGAGGTCGAATCTGAATCTGCGTAAGGCGTCACTCCTCTGGAGCCCCTAGTAACCCTCGAACATAACAGTTCGCAACCCCCGACGGATGGCGAGGTCCCGATCTAATGTGAATATCACGGCGCTAACTGTGCCTGCCAGCAGCCCTCGGCAATTGCAGCAGTTTCGCGGATCGTAGCCCCCCAGGGATGGCGAACCTTCATCTGAGCCTGAATGTGGCGACTCTGTGAGGTCACGGCGTCGGCCTCGTCCAACCTCCTCCCCTCCCCCTCCCCGCCTGACTCGGAAGCGAGCTGGTTAGGTTGAGTTGATGGTTTATGTTTGATTGTGGCTTTTTCACCACTTCTTCTGCCTCCGGCCGGGTGTGGCTTTAGGCGACGTCTGGCCGGCAACTTCTACACCTCCAACTACTTTCTCTTCCTTCGGCCGAGGGCGTCAACGGCATAGGCACCGTGTCGCCATCAACAGCAACTTACAACACTTTCGGAGATCGCAGGCTCTCAAAAGATGGCGAGGTCAAGTATGGTCTGGGTGTTGCGACACTGAGCTGGCCCCCCCAGCAGCCTGTAAAATTGGCGACTGTTTCGCAGAGCGCAGCCCCCCCCGGGGATGGCGAGGTCAAATCTGAGTCTAGGTATGGCAACACTGCGCTGGACCCCCAGCAGACCTCGAAAGTGGGGACAGCTTGGCAGATCGCAGCCGCCCAGGAATGGCGAGGTCTAATCTGAGTCTGGGTATGGCGATACAGTGCTAGCTCCCCCGCAGCAGCCCTCGAAAATGGCGAGAGTTTCGCAGATCGCAGCCCCCCAGGGACGGCGAGGTCTAGTCAGAGTCTGGGTATGGCGACACAGTGCTGGCTCCCCCATAGCAGCACTCGAAAATGGCGACAGTTTCGCAAATCGCAGCCCCCCAGGGACTGGGTATGGCGACACAATGCCGGCTCCCCCCCACAGCAGCCCTGGAACGTGGCAACCCTTTCGCAGATCACAGCCCCCCCGGGGATGGCGAGGTCTAATCTGAGTCTGGGTATGGCGACACTGCGCTGGCCCCCACAGCAGACCTCGAACGTGGCGACAGTTTCGCAGATCGCAGCCAGGGATGGCGATGTCGAATCTGAGTTTGGGTATGGCGACACAGTGCTGCCCCCCCCCCCCCCCCAGCAGCCTTCGAAAGTGGTGACAGTTGCGCAGGTCGCAGCTCCCCAGGGATGGTAAGGTCTAGTGTGAGTATGGGTATGGCGACACAGTGCTGGCTCCCCCACAGCAGCCGAAAGTGGCGACAGTTTCGCAGACCGCAGCCCCCTAAGGATGGCGAGGTCTAACCTGAGTCTGGGTATGGCGACACTGCGCTGGCCCCCCCAGCAGACCTCGAACGTGGCGACAGTTTCGCAGATCGCAGCCAGGGATGGCGATGTCGAATCTGAGTCTGGGTATGGCGACACTGTGCTGGCCCCTCCAGCCAAAGTGGCGACCGTTGCGCAGATCGCAGCTTCTCAGGGATGGCGAGGTCTAGTCTGAGTCTGGGTATGGCGACGCTGTGCTGCCCTCCCCCCCACAGCAGCCCTCGAAAGTGGGGACGGTTTCGCAGGTCGCAGCTCCCCAGGGATGGTAAGGTCTAGTGTGAGTCTGGGTATGGCGACACAGTGCTGGCTCCCCCACAGCAGCCGAAAGTGGCGACAGTTTCGCAGATCGCAGCCCCCTAAGGATGGCGAGGTCTAACCTGAGTCTGGGTATGGCGACACCGTGCTGGCCCCCCAACAGCAACCCTCGAACGACTTAACGTAGCGACCGTTTCACAGATCGCAGCCCCCCAGCCCCAGGGGGGAGGCGGGAGGGGGGCGGGAGGTGGAGACCACAGTGCTCGATTCAAAACGAGAGCCCAACAACGGAAGGCTGGGCACTGACGATGTGCCCGACCCTTGCGCAACGCATGGCCAGAAAATCTAAGTAGACATCATACGGGGTAATACCGTGGCAAGAATGTATATGCTTCTGCGAACGGTATTTGGGAGGCTCGCGAGGTGCGCGACTCGCAGGACACCGATCAATGGCCACGGGCTTGATGGATACGATTCGTGAGTTCCCTGGGTCGAAGAGGAAGAGGGGCAGGACTAAGATGAGAAGGCGGACAGGGAGTTTACAACGTAAGCGGGGCAGCAGCAAGAGGACATGGCAGCAGCACGTGAGTGACAACAAAAAAGACGGCAAGAGGAAGGATAACGATGATGTTTCGAGGTCTGCAAGCAATCAGCCCTCGAATGTGGCGAAAGTGTCTCAGTTCGCACCCACCCCTGGGGATGGAAAGGTCTAATCTGAATGTGCGTAGGACCCCCACTATGCTGGGCCTCCCAGCAGTCCTCGAAAGTGGTAACAGTTTCGCGGATCGCATCACTCCCAGGATGGCGAGGTCGAATCTGAATCTGCGTAAGGCGTCACTCCTCTGGAGCCCCCAGCAACCTTCGAAAGCATCAGTTCGCAGCCCCCCACAGATGGCGAGGTTCCGCTCTGATCTGCGTAGCAGCGCGCTAATTTGGGCCCGCCAGCAACCCTCGGCAGTGGCAGCAGTTTCGCGGATCGCAGCCCCCCCAGGGATGGCGAGCCTTAATCTGAGCCTGGGTGTGGCAACACGGTGCTGGCCCCCCCGCCGCCCTCAAACATGACAACACTTTCGCAAATCGCAACCCCCCAAGGATGGCGAGGGCTAATCTGGTCCGGGTGTGGCGACACTGTGCTGGCCTCCCCAGCAGCCTTCGAAAGTGGCGACGGTTTCGCAAATCGCAGCCCCCAAGGATGGCGAGGTCTAGTCTGAATCTGGGTATGGCGACACTGTGCTGCCCCCCCCCAACAGCCTTCTGTAGCAGCATACGCAAACCATACGGTATCCGAGCCCCAGGAAACTGCAGTTGAGAGCACTGCCGTTGTATGCGCCTCATTCGGGGGAGCTCCTTTTGTGGCCACGAAGCGTGTGAAGATTGTGCCAAAATGGGTGCGGTGGGCGAATGCGAGCACTGGCATTTGGGCCTTCGGTGGAGCTCCCGATGGGGCGAAGAAACGTGTGAGGGGTGTCCCAAAATGGATGCGGTGGGCGCATGCGAGCGCTGGCATCTGGGCCTTCGGTGGAGCTCCCTATGGGGCCACAAAACGTGTGAGGGGTATGCCAAAATGGGTGCGGTGGGCGCATGCGAGCGCTGGCATCTGGGCCTTCTGCGGGGCTCCCTATGGGGCCAAGCAGCGATTAAGGGGTGTCCCAAAAATGGGCGCGGTGAGCGCATGCGCGCGCTGGCATGTGGGCATTCGGTGGAGCTCCCTATGGGGCCCTAAAGCGTGTGATGGGTGTGCCAAAATGGGCGCGGTGGGCGCATGCGAGCGCTGGCATCTGGGCCTTCGGTGGAGCTCCCTATTGGGCCACAAAACGTGTGAGGGGTATGCCAAAATGGGTGCGGTGGGCGCATGCGAGCGCTGGCATCTGGGCCTGTGGTGGAGCTCCCGATGGGGCCACAAAACGTGTGAGTGGTATGCCAAAATGAGTGCGGTGGGCGCATGCGAGCGCTGGCATGTGGGCAGTCGGTGAAGCTCCCTTTGGGGCCACTTCGGGCCACTTCGGTGGAGCTCCCTATGGGGCCGCGAAGCGTGTAATGGGTGTGCGAACTTGGGTGCGGTGGGCGCATGCGAGCGCTGGCATCTGGGCCTTCGGTGGAGCTCCCTCCCTATGGGGCCACAAAACGTGTGATGGGTGCGGTGGGCGCATGCGAGCGCTGGCATCTGAGCCTTCGTGGGGCCACAAAACGTGTGAGGGGTATGGCAAAATTGGTGCGGTGGGCGCATGCGAGCGCTGGTATCTGGGCCTTCGGTGGAGCCCCCTATGGGGCCACAAAACGTATGAGGGGTGTGCCAAAATGTGCGCGGTGGGCGCGTGCGAGCGCTGGCATCTGGGCCTTCAGTGGAGCTCCCCATGGGACCACGAAGCGCGTGAGGGGTGTACCAGAGTGGGGGAGGAGAGGAGGAGGGGGAGGAGGATGGGAGGAGGAGGATGGCAGCAGGAGTGAGGACGCGGGGCGCTGTCGCTTCAAAACGAGGACCCAACACCACATGATGGTTGGGAGAAACATGTCAGCTGAAATCAGGCCAGAACATAGTAGCGAGTGGCATGTCTGAGCCAATTCGAGCCCGAACACCATGGTGAGTCGCACCTCTGGACCACCTCGGCCAGAACGCCATAGCGAGCGCTGCCGGATGGCTCTGCCGGATCGCGCCGCCGGGCCTGGGAGACGCCCCCCCCCCCCCGAGCCCCTCCCCCTGTGGAGATCCTGGTGGGAGGAATGGAAGCCCTTTAGCGAAACGCTTGTAGGGAAGAAACGCCCTCAAAGTTTTACATCGTCTAAGGACGGGACCATGTACATGACGGTCACGGGGTGCCGGGCACAGAGCCCGAAGATGTACTCCGAGTCCTTGAAAGGGAACGTTCGAGGGGGCATCTCTGCGGGGAGGAAACATCGAGTTGGAATCTGCGACACGCCGCCGATAAATCGACGATAGGCCCCTGATAGACAGCGAATCCGCACGTGCCTGGGCGGGGTCGTCTATCAGGACCCTATCGGCGATCAGTGGAAGACTGGGGGATCGATGCATCCCTCCGTTCACCCTTGGTTATCGGGCCATAAGTCGGCTCTCCAGCGGCCGTTCGGGACGATTCAGGCACCCCCGGAAAGCCTTCGGCGAGGCGCAGCTGCTGGAACGCATCCCGCGGCTGGGATACGAACTTACCGCTAGGAATCGACGAAAATGCCCCGACACCTTGAACCTCGAACCTCTCCCTCACGTTGCCCCTGACAAGCATCCCTCCCCGAACCTGTCCCTCCCGAACGTTGCCCCCAAGTCCTTCTCGCCTCCCGGCCTGGGCAGCACGAGCGCGGCGCCCACGGCCAGGGGCCAGAAGACCTCCCACTCCGACAGGCCGAACGTGTAGGCGTGCTTGAGCACGGTGGCCTCGCCGGGGCGCAGCGCGTACCGCGCGTGCATCCACTCCACGCGGTGGCGGAGGCCCGCGTGCTCGCACATGACGCCCTTGGGCTTGCCGGTGGACCCGCTGGTGAAGAAGACGTAGACCTCAGAGGAGGAGCAAGTGCCGCTGCCGCCACCCCTCCCCGGGACCAGTCGGCATCGAATCGGCACATCGGCTTGAATCGAACGGGGCATCGGAGCGGGCTGCTTCGGCACGGAATCGAAACCGAATCGGATCGGCTGCGCCAAGATGCGCGACAGCGCCGTGCAAGCATCGGGCCGCATCGGACCGTCGAAAAACCGGAATCGACTCGGATCGGGCCAGCCGGAATCGATGTCGAATCGAATCGATCGGATGGACATGGACCCTGCCCTCGTCGCCACGGCTGGGTCGCCTCGAAATTCTGGCCAGAACACGCCCCTGGAGAGGTGCTGACGGCAACGAGCTCACTGAAGGCAAAATGATTCACTGAAGGCAGATTCGTTGAAGGCGCAATTTTTGATGACAAAAAAATCTGCAATGAACAACATAATGCCTTCAACAAAAATACTTTCAGAACAAAATGCCCTCAAATAATGGTTTACTCATACACCTGGCCGCCCCAATTTCTTCGATGCGTGGGTCCCCGAGGCCTGGACCACTTCCCTGGGGACGGGTTTTCGTCCTGAGTCGCTTTTTGAGGGTCCCGAGGCCCAGCGAGGGCCCCTGGAGGCCGAAAACGGTCCAAAACCCGCCGCTCCGATTTCTGCTTGAGCGTCGGATCTCTGGGCACCTTCAGTGGGCAAATTCCGCCTTCAGCGAATTTTGCCTTCAGGGAGTGTCAGCACCTTGTTTGGCCCTCCAAAGATAAGGCGACAAAGTCTACACAAGATTGGCCAGGATGGCGTACACACTGCTCCTGGCTTAAGGATAGGCCTGGCCGGGGAGCAGTGGATATGTACAGTCGAACCTCGGACAGAAGAACATCCTTCAAGAACATGAGACCCTCCGCCTGCCAAACCGGCGAACATTCGAGGGCACCCTCCCCCAGGATGCAGAAGAGCGCCCGACAGCACGAAGAACGCGAGGGCACTCTCCCCGACCCGACCTCGACCTCAGACCTCGGGCCCACTCCTGGATCTCGCCGCCTGGTTCAAGGAATTTGGCTTAGGTCGGGCATGTTCCCCTATAGGCGGGTTTTGGGCGAAAAATGGAAAGTAATACTCAAAAAAACAAGTAGCCAAACAAAAACCAAACAAATCCTCCCCTGACTTGTTTGAAGACTATTTCTGAATATGCCTCCTGCAGAGGGACACGCCAGACGTAAAACTTTCGGGGGCGCGCATTAGCGATCCATGGATTAGGCGCACGGTCGCCAAATCCATGATTCGGGGGAGGTGCCCTCCCCAAAATGCGACCGGTGCCGCCTCGCTCGGCGGCGGAAATCCGCGATTTCCCATGGAAACGGGGCCCGTCGCCAGTCCACGCCCCCCATTTTTGATCCCTGCTTGCGATCGCCCGAGACTTGGCCTCCGGAGCGAGGGAGCGAGCGAGCGTCGGCACCCCTCCTCTGGGCCCGCCCTTCCCCCCCCCCCGCGACCAGGCCGCCGCCCGCGGCCTGCCTCGCCCGCTCCTCCGGGGGGCGGAAGGAGCCAGGACACGGCAGGGGGCACGAGCTCTCGGAGCTCCCCCGGGGGATGTCTCGTGGGACGCACAGGGGCATTGCCAGCACTACAGTCAACCCACATAGTAAGGATGGGCAGCCTTCCCAAGGGTACCCTTGCATCCTTGCCTCCTCGGTCCATCCTTGGCCACTTTCGTTGGCCACGCCCCGCTCGAAAAAGCTGCCATGTGGCCTTCCAAGGCCCTTACATCCTTATCGTGCGTCCTTATTGTACAGGTTGACTGTATATGTCCGCCTCGGAGGCGCGCGTCGGACCTCTACATATAGTATACCCATCTTGTAGTACAGATCGTCTCCCGAACGGTGTGGCCAGAGAGCGCCCGCCACGCCGCATGTACTATAAGACTTCTCGGTGCGTGCGCCGCCCCTGGGGGGGCGGCGCACATGTAGTATAAGTATGTTGGGGTGACGCCGATCTTGGATCGCGGGGGATGCCCCCGGGGGGGACGCGAGCGGCAGGACACAGGCCTCGGAACAAAACATAGCGAGCACTCACGCACGCCACATTCACGTCGGTCGACGCCTCCGCCTCCCCCCCAAGGTTCAAGGTTGGCGGTGGGTCTGAGGAGTTGCACCGCGACCGCGGCCTCCTCCGCGCGTGCCACCCCTGAATTTGAGGGAAAAGGGGAGTGCCCATTCTTGGAGGCCTGAAAATGGGAACCAACACCAACACAGGGGGTTGTCTCCCCAGGGGGAAGATGATCCTCGATTTCGGTGTTGGCGGTAAAATTACGGTCACCGTGGAAGCCAGAATATTACCACCATCACCGAGATTGGGATCTTCTTCCCTCGGTGGAGTATTGGTGTTGGTTTCAACCTCTAGGCCTGCGACATTCGTTGTTCCCCTCTGCCGTAGCGAAGGACAGGTCGAGAGTCGGCTCACGTGGGCGACGACCACACACGGGTCTTGCGCGAGATGGCACAGCGACCTTGCGCCGCAGCTTCCCCGGGCCCCCCGCTCAGCACGCCACCCTTGGAGACGAGGGCGCATACGCGCGACCTTACGCGGACAGCTTGCGCGCCAATGTCGGCGCAGACGACCCCCTCCTCCTCCCTCCTCCTCCTCCTCCTCCTCCTCCTCCTCCTCCTCCTCTCCTCCTCCTCCTCCTCCTCCTCCTCCTCCTCCTCCTCCTCCTCCTCCTCTCTCTCCTCCTCTCCTCCTGCTCCTCCTTTTCCTCCTCCTCCTCCTCCTCTCGTCCTCCTCCTCGTCCTCCTCGTCCTCCTCCTCCTCCTCCTCCTCCTCCTCCTCCTCCTCCTCCTCCTCCTGAATGGGCCCAGCGACGGGGGGGCGGAAACCAGCTGCATGCAGCAGATTCTAGACCCTCCCTTTCCCTGTCCTGCCATACATGTCGTTCCGCCCGCTTGGATCCCCGGGCCCAGGCGTCGCATCGACGTCGCGACGGCCAGCTTTTATGTACGTCTTCGGCCTGGGCGTTCCGCCGCCCAGCCCCGAGAGCCCAAGGCTGTCCCAAAAAGGACTCTGGAGGAAATGCTAGCCCCGGGGCGGCGCTGCCATGACTCAGGATCCGGTGTGCCTTGGTTGGTTTTCCAATGAACACCTGTCGGCAAGGCACCCCAAGCGATTCGAACAAGTAGGGCGATGATTTCTTCCTCAGAGAAGGAGGGCGGAGATTTCCGACAAAGAATGCGAGAAACAGCGGCAGTACAGTCGGGCGGAAATCGGCATCAAAGAGGATTGAAAAGAAGAGCTGGAACTTCCGCCCTACTTGCGAAATCGCCCAAGGCCTAGCGGATCTGGAGTCAGGGTGGACCTCCCTGGCAGAGGCGCCCCTGGCGCGCTCCGCTCCCCCGGCAGGGGGGGTTCAGGCGCTGGGCCAAGACACGGAAATAAGAAGAGAGGCCATGACATCTGGGGAGGTATCTGAAGGCGCGCCCCCTTGGGAGGGGAAGCTCCCCCTCCACCTCCCCCTCCCACTCCTCCCTCCTCCCCCTCCTCTCCCTCATCCTCTTCCCCCTCCTCCTCCTCCCCCTCCTCCTCCAGTCCTTTTCCTGGGAATAACTCCTCCCTGTCGCACCCAGAGGCCAGTCGGAATGGCGGGCAATTCTTCACCCTTTATGAGCCTCGAGCTGAAAAACTGACACCAGTTCAACTGATTGAGGGCGGGTCGTTTCCGAAATGCGAGGAGGGAGGAGGGAGGAGGAAGGAGGAGGAAGGAGGGAGGGGGGAGTGGGGAGGGGGGAGGGAGGAGGGGGGAAGGGGCAGGGGGGAGGGAGGGGAGGGAGGGAGGGGCTCCCGCCTGGGCGCCGCGCACATTCACATTTGACACTTGCAAGAGCTTCACGGATTGAGGGCCGCTCGTTTTCAAGATGTGGCTCTCGCCTTAGCGCCGCGCACATTCGTTTGAACAGTGGCCAGAGCTTCACTGATTCTCATGGTTGACGAACCAGAAATGATGTTATAGAGCGATTCAGGCTTTCGCTGGGTTGAAGTCTCAGGAATGGCGTTCCGGCGCTATTCCCGATCGTCAAAGCGCAAACGTCAAATTGACTCGTGGCATTGAAATCCTGAGAACCGTGTTTGGGCACGCTTCGAGATTTTCACACGGCTGTCCCCCAACGGAGCACTCTCCTCAGTGGAAATGAACCCTTGAAGGGCCTAAATAGAGGGAGCTTGGAGGGAGGGTGGATTCCAACATCGTTGACGAGTCGAGTCTTGGGGCAGTCCTCCTCCTCCCCTGGCTCCTCCTCCTCCTCTCATCCTCTCCTCCTCATCCTCCTCCTCCTCCTCCTCTCCTCTCTCCTCCTCTCCTCTCCTCCTCATCCTCATCATCTCATCCTCCTCCTCCTCCTCTCTCCTCCACTCTCCTCCTCCTCCTCCTCCCTCCTCCCTCCTCCTCCTCCTCCTCCTCCTCCTCCTGTCCTCCTCCTGTCCTCCTCCTCCTCTCTACTCCTCCTCCTCGTTCTCCTCCACTCTCCCCCTCCTCCTCCTCTTCCCTCTTCTCCCCTTCTCCTCCTCCTCCTCCTCCTCCTCCTCCTCCTCCTCCTCCTCCTCCTCCTCCTCCTCCTCCACTCCCCCCCGTAGTCATCCGCCCCCTCTTGGACGCCCCCGCTTGTCTCGGCTTCGCTCCTCTGCCCCGAGGGTCGGCGCGTGCCCAGGGGCGCCGCCGCAGTGGGGCACCGCCGCGGCCCGCTGGAGCTCGACGAGCTCGATGTCGCACCCCGCGCCTGCGCCCCCTCCGAACGGGGGGTGCGGTCAAGACTGATGGTGCACGCCTTGCTCCGAGTGCAAGAACATTATAGGTTATGGGTTAAGAAGATGGCCTTCACGCGGAGCGTTTTCTTGAACAAAAGTTCAGGCCCAGAGCTACGACATTTCCAGGATAAGCAAAGATCCAAGAAAACGCTCAGGGCCCAGACCAGATTCTTGATTTT